TGAAATTTGCCGAGTGGTTCTGAAGAAGATGAAAATGTTAAAAAGTTTACAACCACTACACAGACAACGGAAAGCTCACAAGCAACTGTGCATTATTATTTCCCTCCGTAACTTGAGGTCTCTGCTCCTATATGTAAGGTAAAATGTCTCGGAAAACGTTAAAACGACGATTCCGCAAATATATTTATCAAAAGTACATTTCTATAAATACAATTAGTTTATATTTGTACATCATCATCGTTTAAGTGTATTTTTTCAGATTTTTTAAAGAAAATACATTTTATATGGCATTTTACGTACCTGTAAGTCTTCATAGTATATTAAAGTTACCATATTTTAAAGAGTTGTCTTTCTTTGTTTAGTAAATTTTATATCTCCATTAATTCGTGCAGTTTTGTCTCTGCTTTGAATATTCTGTATGAAGAACATTGCTTATACATCCGATCAACTGAAGGCATAATAACGCAGCATTTCGTTTATATTCTTGCATATGTTAAGCATGTTTAATAAGTGAACTCATTATTAATTTCCATGCTAATGTTCACGCAGCCTAATGTTACATTTTCAATTATATCACATTTTCCCCAGGAATGCCTGGCTCTAAGAGCATACTATTAAAGCAGACTTAAGTCAAAATTTAGATTTAATCTTTGGGTTTTATTGAACAAACATGTGTAAAAGTTGTTAAGTTTATGTAATATTCAAATACAAAAAAATGTCGAATTTAAGAGAACAATCATGTTTAAAACATTGTATGTTTCAAATATGCAAACACATCGGATTTTTTTTTTTTATTATTTTAAAACTATTTCAAGTTATACCAATCTGAAATTTTGATTTTAATTTGGTTATGGGCCTACTCTAATATCAATTTTATGATCTCTTATATTTGAAAATCTTAACGCTGGAACGGTTTGACAATCTTTACAAAAATACAAAGATAAACATCTTTTTAAACTGTTCGGCCAAAGTAAAATTTAATTTCCACAATATAAACATTCTCTATTTCCCCAGTGTACAGTGATTAATGATATATACATTCTCTGTTTCCCCAGTGTACAGTGATTAGTGATATATATATATATATATATATATATTATAAAGTGAAGTAAGAAGTAACACTGTAGACCTTAACTGTGAATTGTCTTTTATTATGTTTACGATATAATGATATGAATGTGCATAAACAAATATGAGTTGCGCATACAATAATTAACAGATAATAACATAATCATTGACAGGGATGAGAACACAATATATATTATCTCATACAATGCATCAATTATATTGCTCATCTCATGTTTCTACATCAGGTGAATATTTAAACAAAGCAAAAAATGGTATGGTTTGACAAAACAAAATAGTAATTCTTTAAGCAAATGATAGAGAAATGCCAGAGTTCACTCTTTTATAGATAAAGTAGCAAAATATAAAGGTAATTCCACCCTCTTATAATCTTAAAGGTTTAGAAAATTCTTACATCGATATTTCACATTTCATCAATATTACAAATTACCAAATAGAAATTTTTGTTTTAAAAGAATCTTTTTGGAAAGGTCTAATTAAAAATATGGTTTTGTAAGAGAATTATAAAAGCTCTTTTTTCATCATAATGTATCAAAATTATTTATGCTTTAAAAAAAATTACAAATGCATTAACTCTTGCCCACCTTTCATAGTTCACACATTTCCTTTATTACATTTCTATTGTAAAAGGTTTCTTCGATATCAACCATTTACAAATATTTATAAAAGAAAAATTGTTTGGAACTTTCGTTATTAAAATAATGTCATTCGAACAAGTATTTACTAATTTCGATGATGCTTTTAACCAAAAACTGATTTTTTTATGCTGACAGATTCCTCTGTTTACTTTTGTTTGACACCGTTTTAAACAGGTTTGTGGCATACATTTATTTTAGATTAAGTATGTTAAACTATATAAAGTGGAAATTGATGAAGTTATTATACTTTGAACCCATTAAAGAATTAGGGTGAAGTCGCATTCGAATTCAAAGATGTAATGAATTAGCATTATATAAAACAATATAATACATACACTGTACACAGATTATCAAATAATCCCAAATGCGCATCATCTATTTCCTTTTTTAATTTTCACAAAATTTTATTTTGTTTGTGTAAACTAGAGTCCGAAGAGAAAAATGTAAAACATTAAAACTTGACATCTCATGTCATAAAATTTTTAAATACAAAGAGCATAAAAAAAGTCAAGAAAAAAATAAGTAACAAACACATTACATATTCAATAACTCTTTTTCTTATTTTGTATAATGAAGATATATACCAAAAAAGTTGCATCTCATGTTTGCCAAATAAAATTAATAACATAAATTTATGGTGTATTTATTTTATTTTTATAAAAAAAAATATTCATAAAAGAATTTGCCTTTAATCGTGATCCGTTTTCATGATAAAAGGATGATTACAATGATCCCTTGTCTTCAAAAATATGATCAAAACTATGTTTAACTATATAAATTATGTAAAAGCAATATTCTTACACTTTTTAATGCTCAAAATTTTCTCAAGCTATTCAGAGAAAATGCTTCCTTTCTATTTTGACACCAAAAATTGTATTTGAAACATTAAGAACACTGGGATTGTTCACACACACATTACGCCACGTTTATGAAACACATCTTCACATAACAAAAGTTGAAAATATATCAGAAAAAATCATCAGTTTTATACATTTGTACACATTTGATCAGTTACATACAACACCTTAATTTGTTATATACAATTCCTAAATCAGCTACATACAATACATCAATCACATCTCTACAACACCTTAATCTGTTAAATTTACATTTTTCAATAAAATTTCCTTAAAATTTTCATAAATTGGAAAACAGTCCATTTTCTCATGAACTCTATGGATGAGCATGAATATCTCTATTGGTACGTCATAATACCGTACTTGGTGTCAAAAATAATGTGCAGACTGTTTTGTTTTACAATGACAGTTTCATGGAATAACCTTTATAAGTGACTCATCAGTTAACAATATAAATATAGAAAAATAAATATAATTTTTGAAAATTCCTGAGTTGCATGAATTACGACGCTGCACGCTAAAGCACTTCATGAAATATGTAGACGTGAAGCGTCGTAATTCATGGCCCCATGAATTTTTGAAAATTAAATTCATTTCTTTAATATACCACACCTTTACCGGCTATATATAACACACTAGGCAATTATTTACAACCCCTTATAATCATTTTTATTTAGCACCACAATCCACTATAAACAGCGCATTAAGGAGTTTTGTAACACACATTTATCAGTTTTATACAACACGTGAATCAGTTGTACACAAGACGCGATTCAGTTATATTCATATCACCTTTATCTTTAATCTACAATATATAGAGCATGTGAGTTATGTACACAACACCTTTATCTGATAAAAAACACAATAATCAGTTATATACAAGACTTTTATCTGTTAAATACATCGCATTAGTTATTTATATACAACACAAGATACACTGTAAAATATAAGGAAAAAATGTAGTAAAACAAATTTATTTACATTCGATACATGAAGCCAATAGGAGAAAATACTCTTAAAAAACCTTTTAAATGTAAGTTATCTACAAAGAAATTCTTTAATAATTACATACACAACTAATACTTAATAAGTAATATCTATTTAAAACTGACCAAAAAGCCAGTTTCAGTCATATTCTTTAAGGATATCCGATCCTCAGCCTGGAAGGATAACTCTTTAATTTATTATTTAACTCAAAAAGTCTCACAATAAAGCTTAAATATGAAATCTTTTCATGCAACAATTTTCATTTTATGCAGCTGAATGTGATTCAAGGTTCTTTGAGGTTTTAGAAACAGTCTTTTCAAACGTTGATATTTTTATCCTATAAAGGTATGTTAAAAACACAGAATTAAAGAAATCTACTTTTCCTTTAATTTAGCTTTAGATACCAATGCTAATTAGCATGATTTGAAGTAAGAAATGATTTATGGTGTTTTGCAAGATAGGAAACACTTTATAAATTATGCATTATAAAATAATTGAAGTATACAGAAGAAACTAAAGTACTGTATAAGTATGAAAATCATGCAATTTTCTTCAAATGCCTGGATACCTATAGTTTTTTATCCTAAAATGTTTTTGATCAATTTCCAATTAGAAAATGCATAGTAGGTGTCTTTATTGGCATTTCCTGAAATTTTATTTGAGATTTACTAATTTTTCCTACATAATATGATTAACTTTAAAGATGAAGTTTGAACAATTACCGTGGGTAAATTTACATTACTTTGAGACATTTTTGTGAGCATTTTCAATTATTAAATGCCTAATTTTCAGAACCTGAGGATCGGACTACCTTAATCAGAATTATTCAAGTTTACAGAAAATACTCTGATTTTCAGAATTTTTTATAAAAAATATTAATCCTGAATAAGTAAGTAAATAAAAAGATTTGCCTTCAATGAAAAACACAACAGAAATATTGAGTCTCAATGAATAAGTACAAATTAAGCGTCGCTGTACAATATATTAATTTATATAAGACATTGGTACACACTGATTAAGTACATATAAGCCACTGGTTCTCAGTGGGAAAGTATGAAGTAAACTGTAGTCTTGAATGAAAATGTACATATGAAATATTGATCCTGAATAAAAAAAATATTCATGAAATATTGGCCCTGAAGGAAAAAAGTACATATGAAATATGATCTTTGAAAAAGTACATATGAAATATTGATCCTGAATGAAAAAAAAATACTCATGAAATATTGGCCCTGAAGGAAAAAAAGTACATATGAAATATGATCTTTGAAAAAGTACATATGAAATATTGATCTCGTATGAAAAAGTACATATGAAATATTGGTCCTGAATGTAAAAGTAGATTGAAACACTTGTACTCGGATGAAGAAAATCTGAACACTCATAAAAAAGAATAAGGGACAAAAATCTTTAGACTTGTTAAATATTCATTTCATATATAAAGTTTGTCAGTAAAAGTATGTTTCCTATTGTTCGTTTGTCATTTTAAACCACTGCTTGCCATCCACTAAACACACAACAACTTTCTCCCCATATTTATTTTCAATATCGAGTAAATTTGGAAAATTGTGAACCAAAGAGCTACACATTTTTGTTTGATTTTGGAGACAAGCGACGTGTAGGACCGTGTTACCTTCATTGTCCACAACATATAATAAATCCGAAAAAATCACCGTCAGGTAATCAAACATTGCTTGCTTACCCTCGTGACAACAGCGATGTAGGACCGTGTGACCATTACCAGTTTTACTGTGGACATCTAGACCTTTCTCCAACAAAAACTTAAAGAGTTCTGTGTTACCTCCATAAGCTGCATCATGTAAGGCATTCACACCATCAATGTCCTGGACAGTCAGTAATTGTGGCTGATGGTTGACTAAGTACTCACACATCTGTACCTTACCATTCATACAACATTTGTGTAGGACTGTTTTGCCTTTGTTAGTTTTACGGTTTACATCTAAGCCTTTGTCTATCAGAAAATCAAGGAGATATATATTACCTCCAAATGCTGCGTCATGTAACACAGACTCACCATCACTGTCCATATGTTCCAGTAAGTCAGGGTAATGGCTTGTCAGATACTTACACATGTGCACTTCACCATTCATACAACACTGATGTAAGACTGTTTTCCCTTTCTTTGTTTTACTGTTAACATCCAAACCCTTTCCCAAAACAAACTTGAAAACCTCAACATTACCTCCCCAAGCTGAATCATGTAAAAGATTTCCACCATCACTGTCAATACATTTGACTAATTCGGGGTGTATTTGGAACAAGTACTCACACATTGCTAACTCACCATTCTTACATGACTGGTGTAAGAGTGTTTTACTTCCTTTTGTTTTACTTTTTACATCAAAACCTTCTTCCATCAGAAATTTAAATAGATCCACATTACCTCCAAAGGCTGCGTCATGTATCACATTTTCATCATCATCATCCTTCAAATGAAGAAAGTGAGGATACTTTTTGTTCAAGTATTTAAACATTGCTTGCTTACCTTTTCTACAACACCAGGCTAATACCGTCTTTCCGTTGTTAGCTCTACTGTCTACATCCAAACCTTTGCCTATCAGGAACTCAAACAATTCAACACTACCCCCAAAGGCAGCATCATGTAAAACATTCATACCATCATAATCAATGGCACGTAACAAATCAGGATATTTGGAAACTAAATATTTAGACATCTCTAACTTGCCATTCCTACAACTCCAGTGTAGCATAGACTTACCATATCTGGATGAAGAATTGATGTCTAGACCTTTTTCTATCAGGAATTTGAACAGATCAACATCTCCTCCCCATGCTGCATCAGGTAGTGCATTTTCATTGTCAATATTTTTCATATTAAGAAAATGAGGGCAATGGCTAAGTAAAAACATTGACATTGCTAATTTACCATTCATACAACTCAGGTGTAGAACTGTTTTACCTTTATTTGTTGTACTTTTAAAGTCTAAGCCTTTTTCTATCAGAAGCTTGAAAACATCAACATTTCCTCCCCAGGCTGCGTCATGCAACGCAGTTTCCTCGTCATCGTCACTGATTTCTATTAGTTCAGAGTGTTTGTTGACCAAGTACTTACACATTTCTAACTTACCATTCATACAACTCTGGTGTAGAACTGTTTTACCTTTATTTGTTGTACTTTTAAAGTCTAAGCCTTTTTCTATCAGAAGCTTGAAAACATTGACATTTCCTCCCCAGGCTGCGCCATGTAGAACTGTACGTCCAACATCGTCACTGATTTCTATTAGTTCAGAGTGTTTGTTGACCAAGTACTTACACATTTCTAACTTACCATTCATACAACTCTGGTGTAGAACTGTTTTACCTTTATTTGTTGTACTTTTAAAGTCTAAGCCTTTTTCTATCAGAAGCTTGAAAACATCAACATTTCCTCCCAAGGCTGCGTCATGCAACGCAGTTTCCTCGTCATCGTCACTGATTTCTATTAGTTCAGAGTGTTTGTTGACCAAGTACTTACACATTTCTAACTTACCATTCATACAACTCTGGTGTAGAACTGTTTTACCTTTATTTGTTGTACTTTGAAAGTCTAAGCCTTTTTCTATCAGAAACTGGAAAGCATCAACATTTCCTCCCCAGGCTGCGTCATGTAGAACTGTACGTCCATCATTGTCACTGATTTCTATTAGTTCAGAGTGTTTGTTGACCAAGTACTTACACATTTCTAACTCACCATTCATACAACTCAGGTGTAGAACTGTTTTACCCTCATTTGTTGTACTTTTAAAGTCTAAGCCTTTTTCTATCAGAAACTGGAAAACATCAACATTTCCTCCCCAGGCTGCGTCATGCAACGCAGTTTCCGCGTCATTGTCACTGATTTCTATTAGTTCAGAGTGTTTGTTGACCAAGTACTTACACATTTCTAACTTACCATTCATACAACTCTGGTGTAGAACTGTTTTACCCTCATTTGTTGTACTTTTAAAGTCTAAGCCTTTTTCTATCAGAAGCCTGAAAACATCAACATTTCCTCCCCAGGCTGCGTCATGTAGAACTGTACGTCCATCATTGTCACTGATTTCTATTAGTTCAGAGTGTTTGTTGACCAAGTACTTACACATTTCTAACTCACCATTCATACAACTCAGGTGTAGAACTGTTTTACCTTTATTTGTTGTACTTTTAAAGTCTAAGCCTTTTTCTATTAGAAACTGGAAAACATCAACATTTCCTCCCCAGGCTGCGCCATGTAGAACTGTACGTCCATCATTGTCACTGATTTCTATTAGTTCAGAGTGTTTGTTGACCAAGTACTTACACATTTCTAACTTACCATTCATACAACTCTGGTGTAGAACTGTTTTACCTTTATTTGTTGTACTTTTAAAGTCTAAGCCTTTTTCTATTAGAAACTGGAAAACATCAACATTTCCTCCCCAGGCTGCGCCATGTAGAACTGTACGTCCATCATTGTCACTGATTTCTATTAGTTCAGAGTGTTTGTTGACCAAGTACTTACACATTTCTAACTTTCCATTCATACAGCAATGGTGTAGGACTGTTTTACCTTTAATTGTTCTACTTTTAACATCTAATCCTTTGTCTAGCAGAAACTTGAAGACGTCAATATTTCCTCCCCAGGCTGCGTCATGTAAAACAGTGAGTCCATTTTTGTCAGAAATATTAAGTAATTTTGGATGATTTAGGACTAGATAATTACACATTTGAATTTGTCCACTTCTACAAGCAAATTTTAGCGGTGAATCCTGACCTTTGGTAATTGATACTATAACACCTTTCTCTAAAAGGTATTCATATAACTCAATGTTCCCCGATTGTGCTGCCCAGTGAAGAGAAGTGTGCCCTTCATAGTCATCAAAGGTCTTTTTCAATAAATTAGGATAGGTCTCACAGATATATTTAACCATATCTAACTTACCATTTTGACAAGCGTAATGAAGAACAGTAGAACCATGATGAGATCTAGCGTATAGGTCAGACCCACTGTTTATCAACATTTTAAAGGAATCTTTTTGTCCCGCAAATGCAACAAAATGAAGAGCATTCCCACCTTGTTCATTTTTAACATCACGAACGATCGAACAACGCCTAAGAACAGGTTCAATTAATTGATTTTGGCCAAAGAAACAGATTTCATGAAGCAAACCCCCTCTCAGAAAGGACCATCCTGGATGATTTGAAAACTCTGTTTGTTTTAGATCTACATTGTCTGTAAAACGGAAAAGCATATCAATATTTCCACTTTGTACAGCATAAAAACATGTTCTGAGATCATATATAACATTTGTTTTTTCTAGAATAAGGTCCACAACATCGATATAATTGTAATTGCAAGCCTTGTTTAATGATTTATATATTTCTTTTTCTGATGAATAGTGCAGCAAAAAGCCAACAATTTTTGCATTACCCACTTTTGAGAAATGAACCAACATAGAATCTTCTCTTTCGTCAACACACTCTATCATTGCTTTTACACACTTCTTATTCTTCATGAAATTCTCTATAAATTCATTGTTTGACCAGAGTTTCATCAAAGATATTGATTTAAATGCAGACATAGTTTTGATTTCTGTAATCAGTACTTTAATTCTCTCTACCAGTAATGGAAACATTTCGACCTCTATTGCTTCAGCATTTTGGGTCGTGTTTGAAGCAGTTAAAGGTACAAATAACGATGGATCGCACTCAGAAATTATCTCTTTTGGATGATATTGCCAGAGATAATGAAAAAGGCTTTGTTGAACAGAACTGTGCGAAAATCTATAAGTCTGTTCAATATCATCATATATCATATATATACCATCAAACGACCCAATAGAACTGTGAAATTTCTGAAGTGAGTCGCCATCTTCTTTCATTCGTATTATACTCATGGCTTTATATTTCCTTGCCATGTCCTTGTGGACATTCCACAATGTGTCTTTACTGATGTTTCCTCCACACAAAAGAATGTAAATCAATACAGCTGTTTTAGGCTCCTTCTTTTGCATTCTTTTTTCAATTTCGCTCTGTAGATAATTTAAAGGATTAACGAAGAGTTCACGCACATCATTAGTATTACTATCTATTTTGTTTTGCAGTAATCTGAAACATTGTGGAATTCCGACTGAACATCCAAAATGTTGAATGTCTATCTTTTCCATATATGGATTTAGGTGTTGTAATCTATATTTCTTCACAAATTCCTGAAACTCTTCTCCTTTTATTTGGTTTTCTGTATCAGATATATCAATTACGGAGGAATTTAGAAAGTCATTGTGTCTAAGAATGTTTGCACATTCTTTGTATACGTCATTCCTAATCGTTGTGATTAATATGTTGCCATTTCCCTCATCGTTCGATACTGTAGCTTTGATCATGGTTTCTCGAACCTTAAAATCATGCAATTCATCTTCTAGCAAACCGTTCTCACCAAATATGTTATCTATAAAAATAGCTATTTTAGAGCACATCGGTAAAGTTTCAATATCTTTTATCGTATATATCTCTATTGGATACATTCCTTCCTGTTCTAGTTCTAGTAAGATGTGTTTAGCAGTGGTAGTTTTTCCATCCCCCGGATTTCCTTTAACTATGCAATACCTTTGTTTTTTAATTTTACTCAAAACAGTCTTATGTGCTCGTGTCTTTACAAACACATCACTTATATTCTCTTTAAAATCTTTCAATATTTTTCTGGTTTTACCTGTTAAAAGGAGTAAATGTAATTAAAATTTCTGTCCTGCATAAACATTTGATGAATAAAATGGATGTATGGAGTTTTTTTTTTATATTTCAGAACATAGAAATAATTAAGATGAGTATCACATACCAATACTTATTTTCAATGCAAAAATATAAAAATACGTTACCTATCTTCTGCTGAAGATCTTTATCTGTGAATAAAAGAATTTTAAACAAAATAAATGCAAATTGTTTGTCGTATTATACTTATTTAAAAAAGAAAAAAAAAACATTGTAAAAAACATTGACGACTTATCTTTTAAACATTGCACAAATTGTGCATAATGAGGTTGATTTTTGAAAGTCATTTTTTTTTATTTTAGAAAATAAATTATCATAATTAAAATTAATCCAATAATATTTGAATATCGTCATAAGAAAACAATTGGATGATCTCGACATATTTAATTGAAATTTACTTAATTGGTCGTGGATTGCAATTCAAAAGTTATTTTAAGTTAGAAAATACATCAAGTTTGTCCCCTTCATAACCCGCCAAAAAAGACTGCATGTTCTGTAAACACAGTACCGTTTACATATATTTAATTTATCGTTTTACTAATATGCAAATAAAATAGTATAACTCTTTTCTCTCAATTCACGGTTCCGTCAAAGATACTTATAGGATTTAAAGTTTTGGTTTTGAACATATTTTATTGACTAAATCAAAAGGATTGAAAACAAGTTCTTACAACTTACTAGTTCCTCTCCTTAAATATATAACTATATGTCATGCAATTGAAATAGTACACAGAACTATAAATTTAAAAAGTGATACAAGTGAAATATCTGTTCAATAACATAACAAATTTAAAATCTACAGGTTTCATCAATAAATTACAAAAGCCCAGAAGGCTCATTCGAGATTCGAGTTTCGAAATACAAGATTCAAAATTCGAGATTCAAAATTCGAGTTTCGAGATTCAAGATCCAAACTAACCAATAAGAAGACGGATTCAATATTTGATTACTCCCCTTTATTAAGTTTTTACTATTAAGAAATCACTGAATATATTTATAACAAATGGGTCATTTGCTTTCATAAAAATGCAAGAAAAAATGTTATATGTATCAAAACAAATACAAATGAATTTTGGGGTAACGTTTTGAAAAATCTATATAAAATCTTATTTTCCTCATTAAACAAAACAATAGATACGTATATAAAATATTATATGGTCTTATCGTTGAATTGCGAAATTAGTAGGTCGATAAATTATTTAATAAGGACATTTATGATGAAGAAATTCTAGGGATCGTCTTTACACTGCACAGTTATTTAATTAAGGATACATTTAATTAAATTTAAAGGCGCATTTGTGCAGTTAGACTGATCTACTATTTGATAGGAAATAAAATAAAATTACAGTTTTTATTATATATATAATTTTTAATTAATTCAAGTATTCAAAGCCTTAGACCAAGATAAGTAATTAAAAACTTAATTTGTATGTATTTCTCCTGTTAGGGAACAGTCGTGTATATTCCCTTCTGCTAATGTGTAGTCAAAGATTTTACCAAAAGCGCATCATTGCCGAATTTTGGATAGGCAAGGAGGGAGTCGCCCACTCTCAATAGGGGGGGGGGGTGTCGGGTCGGAGGACCACTTTCTGCGATCTTGGATACATTCATCATTGTCATTTCTCCAGTGAATATAATTATTAACAATTTAAACATATCTTAATGATACAGAAATTAAAATCTTCATGACCACTCTTAATAAAATTGAGAAATTTTAAAATCCTTACACAGTTCTCGGAAATATTGGAAACTTCTTTACTGAATAATCTAAATATAATTTTTGAAATGTTTTACGTTTGACTTCCTACTATTCCAAACATATTTCCTAATTTCTATTCCCTGTCCTAATCGTAGACTCCTGTTGCTGTCATTTTTAATAGTCTGTTCTCGACTTCAAGATTACATTTCAATTCTAGATTTAACCAACTATAAAAATCTAAAGTTTTGTATACTGTAAAAATTGGATAGGCATAAAAGTGTGGATTGCTAAAAATACTTTTATTGCATTTGATGAAAAAATATTCTAGTAACTGGTAAACGAATAAGAATTATGATCAACTTTCTCCCATTTTTCAACCAAATACATGTATACATAATTTTTTTTTTTCATCAATAAAATGATGTGTAGGCTACAGGCTTACTGCCTATATGGAATATACACCATTAAAAAAGCGAACGCGACTTTTCTTTATCTCTACTACGATGTCTTTCAAGATTTCCTGTGTACACTAGAAAGGCACACACGAACTAAATAATTTTAATATGAACTCCTTTAGGAGTCCTAAAGGTGTATAGAGGTTCCATTGCTTTGTTAAAATAATAAATTTTTTATCTTTATTAAACACTTTTATATCTTTTTTTTTCTCTATGGCCATTATATCATGTATTGAAACTTGTGTATTGATTGGTTATGTATCTTGCGAGACCCGAGCGGTTTCCTTATCAATAATTATCGAATATATAATTATTCTGCCCATGCATCGCAAGATTGACACTGAATGTTGATAACCGAACAGTTGTCTACCGTTGTAATAAAAAACAACATAGCCATAGGACCCTGGACACGTGTCTCCCCCCCCCCCCCCCCCACACACACACATTCCCCTTCTATTTTTACCGATATAAAATACTATAGAAAACATAGCAACTTTATGCTTGTGTCCTTTCAAAAATAACGTCTTATAACCGTGATAACCTCTGTTTTTTTCGGGGGGGGGGGGTCTTTACATTATATTTTTATTATTTCCTACAGGCTTGAAGAAAGAGAAATCATTATCTTTATTAAGCATACATATTTCAGCCATCCGTACCTAAGGGGCAGTCTCTTGGTCTCACAAACTTAGTCACTGGTCACTTTCTAATATACCTTGTCACAAACTAAATCCACTTTGAAACCCGTATTGGTCACTGGTCACTTTCTAATACCTTGTCACAAAGTATATCCACTTTGAAACCTGTATTACTTTTCGCTAGTCACTTGTTTAATTGCACATTATTAATTCTCATCGACTACAATAAGCCCCCCCCCCCCCCCCTTTGCTCTTTGAATCCGATTAACAATATTTATTATTATGACCTCAAACCTGTATACAAACTAGATAATACGCTATAGATATTCTTGATATAAATCTATTATAATATCTAAGAAATTTTTATATAAATTAAAGCATACTTTGCAGACCAAAAACCCAATCTTTTTTCTAATTTCGTTCTGATATATATAACACTCTTTCTTGCATTGTAATATAATCAAATAACCTCTTCAGTTTGAATATATATTCAACAATTTCTTGAAGCTCAAAACTTAGCAAAGGGGAGTAATTGAATCTTAAACCGCCTTTTGATTGGTTAGTTTGGATCTTGAATCTCGAAACTCGAATTTCGAATCTCGAATTTCGTATTTCGAAACTCGAATCTCGAATGAGCCTTCTGGGCTTTCGTAATAAATTTATGCACAGCAGCAAAAATATTTGTATTAGTTTGTAAAGGCAAATTTTACGAAAGCCCAGAAGGTTCATTCGAGATTCGAGTTTCGAAATACGAGATTCGAAATCCAAACTAACCAATCAAAAGACTTTAAGATTCAATTACTCCCCTTTGCTAAGTTTTGACCTTCAAGAAATCATTGAATACATTCAAACCGAAGAGGTCATTTGATTATATTACAATGCAAGAAAGAGTGCTATATATATCAGAACGAAATTAGAAAAAATATTGGGTATTTGGTCTGCAAAATATGCTTAAATTTATATTATAACTTCTTAGATATTATAATAGATTTATGTCAAGAATATCTATATCGTATTATCTACTTTGTTTACATGTTCGATGTCATATAATAATAAATATTGTTAATCGGATTCAAAGAGCAAAAGTAGGGGGAAGGGGCGTATTGTAGTCGATGAGAATTTTTAGTGTGCAATTAAACAAGTGACTACCGATTAATGATAAATAGAACTACCGGTTTCAAAGAGGATATAGTTTGTAACAAGGTATTAGAAAGTGACCAGTGACTAATACGGGTTTCAAGTGTGCAATAAAACAAGTGACTAACGATTAATAATAATTAGTAATACGGGTTTCAAAGAGGATATAGTTTGTGACAAGGTGTAAGAAAGTGACCAGTGACCAAGTTTGTGAAACCAAGAGACAGTCCGATAAGTACATGTACGGATGGCTGAAATATACATGCTTAAAAAAATTATGATTTCTCTTTGTTCAGGCCCGTAGGAAATAATAAAATAAAAAAAAAATCACTGTAACCCCCCCCCCCAAAAAAAAACAAAAACAAAAAAAAGGGGTTATCACGGTTATTAGACGTTATTTTTGAAAGGACATAAGGACAAAGTTGCTATGTTTTCTATAGTAAATTATATCGGTAAAAAATATAAGGGGAATGTGTGTGTGTGTGTGTGTGTGGGGGGGGGGGGGAGACACGTGCCCAGGGTCCTATGGCTATGTTGTTTATTTTATTCTTATATTATTTTTATTCATTTACAAGTTACTAGAATATATTTTCATCAAATGGAATAATAGTACTTTTAGCAATCCGCTTTTTTTTGCCTATCCAATTTTTACAGTATACAAAACTTTTGTTTTTCATAGCTGGTTAAATCTAAAATTGAAATGTTACCCTGAAGTCGATATCAGACTATTAAAAATGACGTCAACAGGAGTCTACTAATATGTTTGGGTTAGTAGGGAGTCAAACATAAAACATTTTAAAAATTATATTTAGATTATTCAGTAAAGAAGTTTCCATAATTTCCATGCACTGTGTAAGGATTTTAAAATTTCTCAATTTTATTACAAGTGGTCATGAAGATTTTAATTTCTGTATCATAAAAATATGTTTAAATGATTTATCATTATATTCACTGGAAAAATGACAATGATAGATGTCTCCAAGATCGCAGAAAGTGAGCCTCCGATCCCCCCTCCCCTTCTATTGAGAGGGGGCGACTCCCTCCTTGCCTATCCGCAATTCGGCAATAATGCGCTTTAGGTGAAATATGTGACCTCACATTAGTTTACACATAAGCAGAAGGGAATATACGCCACTGTTTCCCAATATAAGAAATACATAAAAACTGTTTTTCAATTAAGGCTTTGAATACTTGAATTAATTAAA